TTTATATATATAACATCAAGTGACGGGACGAACAAGTTGTGCGTCTGATGGTAAGCTACACGCCTGTCCATAACAGTTACCGTGCTACTCAGAGCTTTAAATTGCAAAGATCTGAGGGGCACCACCACTAATTAGTAGTTTCACCAGCACCCTTACCCTTCTAAATCGGAACACAGTGACGCTGACATTACTGCTTGGCGGTGGTAAGTAAGTAGAAATAGGTAAGGTGGCAGTACTACCCTGGACGAACTCTTTCATAAGGAGCTCTACTGCTACGAAAAACAACAAAACAACGAAAAACATATTCATTATCTTTTTGAAGAACCTCGTGTCTTTTTGAACCACCACCACAGAAGGAAGATCTTTCCGTAACCTGCAGGTTCGAGGGACGAACAAGATGCCCGCGTGGACTTACATTGCGAGGCATCTTAAGATGTGGGGATGGACTCTACTCCTTTGGCGGGAGGTGCGACGGTGGAAACGAGATGGTGCACTCCCAATTGTAAAGACGGTAGACACAGAGAGCCAACGTCTCTTCGTAGGCTAAGGGGCTATATATAATACCACTGCTAGACACAGCCTCCTGTCACAATGAGAGGGCTTAGGCTGTAGTTACAAACCAACACATCATTAAATTGCTTGGCAGGGTGTATGCAGGTTTCCTCACGATGTTGTCCTTCACTAAAAAACATTAGTAAATTTCAAATTAAATTTCGCACATGGATTCCGAAAAACTCAAAAGGTGCAAGCCCGAATTCGAACATACTCCCTCTCATTGAGGGGTGGTAGGTCAAACCATTAAGCTACCACGGCTTTTTCGACGATAAGTCCCTGTTTACCTGGAATTTATTGTACAAGGTACCCAAGCATGGGAGCTAGGTCGATAGCTCTACAAATTGTTTTGATAATAAATATTGGTCTTTGTTTTCTTTTAATAAAGTATCAAAACAAAAACATGTTTCCTCGCTTAAAACGTATGTCAAAATACTGGATAGGTATGAATACAAATTGAGAGTCCGTGTAAAACGCACAAGGCTATTACAAAATTGACGTGGCATATTTTAAAAGCACCGAGATAACTAATGGCTCTGTTCCAAACACGCGAATGAAAAGCAAAAAAAAAAAAGAATAATAGGCTTTCTTCGTATTTTAAGTGGACTTTGTTTCGAATAACAAAAACTTTACTGTTATCAATATCATTGATAACCTGTAACAGTGAATAGAGGCCCATTATGCGACTTTAAAGTTACCGAGAAAGTTATCTAGTCAGAGACAATTATTCAGCAATCAGTGATACTAAGCCGTCCTCTAACGCTCTAGGTGTCAATACCCCTTGCTATATAATTATCTTATAGTATTTAAATATAAATAGAAATCTATACCATAGTTGAATTTTAGTAGCAGTAGAGGTCCCTTACCTACCTAACCTTACCTATTTCTGCCGCCTAGCAGTCATGTCAGCATCACTGTGTTCCGGTTTTAAAGGGTAAGCGTGCTGGTGAAATTACAGACACATGGGACTTGTCAACTTATTTCTCAGGGTGACGGGCGCAGTGGTAGTCCCTTTCAGATCTTCGTGGTTTAACTGAGTGGTACTGTAATGTTACGGGCAAACGTGTAGCTTACCGTCAGGCTCACGACTTGTTCGTACCGTTATTTGGCATTATAAAAAAAATTATGACAGAGGTGTAAGAGGTAATTTAGAGGTAAATTTTCTGTAAAAGCAGATCATTCAATGCTAGTGTAAACGTTTTGCATCTTATCTGATTTATTGTCGTCTATTGTTTGAAATGATTATTTATTTGTTAGTACACTTTTGAATTAGAATGCAAAATTGTAAACACGGAAGTCACAATGCAAATTACAGCCCAGCACGAATTTAAATATGGCCGCCTGAATAACCGAAAACAACTTTATAGGGCTTTGCGAATTAAAAACCGTTGCCGATATTTACATGAAACGAGTTTGTGTTTGGCAAATATTCTGCCAGAAATGGTAAATATATTTCGTATAAAAATTAAATCCAACAACATCGCCCATGAACATTCGCAACATCAGAAGAGCTGCGTTGCCAGCCTTTGAGAGCCCTGTAAACACGCTTTTTGAAGAACCCCATGATATAGCGAGGAAGATCATTCCATATCTTGCAGGTTCGAGAAAGGAACGAACGAGATGTCCGCGTGGTCTTACAATGCCAGGTATCTAAGATATGGGGATGGTCTCTATTCCGTTGGCGGGAAGTGCGATGGTAGAAACGAGACGGTGGCACCAGTTCGAAAAATTCCTCAGACCATTCCCCATTATAAAGACGGTAGAACACACACAGAGAGCCAACGTCTCTCCGTAGGCTAAGGACTCCACACCGTCTGCGAGTTTGGGATCATCGATAATAAACAGCCTTACGTTGGATGGAGTCAAGGGGTCAAGCTGGTATTTGGGAGCTCCTGCCCAGAGATGCGAGCAATACTCCATATGGGGCCGTACTTGTGTTTTATATAACAAAAGTCAGGGACCTGGTGAGAAATACTGCTTCGCTCTATTGAGCACTCCGAGCTTTTTACAAGCCAGGACTTCGTTCGTGATGTCGACTCCAAGTATCCCAGTACTCTTAGAGATGGTAAGGGCAGTGTTCTGGAAACTTTACTAATATTTTATTGGCAATCCGATACTACATGAAGCTAATTTTACTTACATTGAATATTAAATATTACTATGTATGAGTTACAGTTACATTCAATTTATTTTATCTTAATTGAATTTATTTTTACAATAAATAATACTTTATGTATTGTAAAAATAAATTAAATACTCGTTCATAAAGATTAAATTTTTAATAGAGTTTTTTTTTTATATTATCAAGTGATGGGACGAACAAGTCGTGTGCTGGGTGGTAAGCTACATGCTTGTCCATAACAGTTGCTGTGCAAATCGGAAAGGTCTGAGGGACACTGCCACTGCCCCGGCACCCTGAGACATAAGTTAAAGTTAAAAGTCCCATGTGCCTGTAATTTCAGCAGGACCCCTTACCCTTCAAAACCGGAACACAGTAATGCTGACATTACTGTTTGGCGGCAAAAATAGGTAAGGTGGCAGTACTTCCCTGGACGAACTCTTTCACAAGGTCTCTACTACCACTAAATCGATTTTAATATGTGACAATATAAATTCATCCATTGGTTACTAATGTTGCAATATCTCTCTCGAGAAGAGGTACAAAGATTCTTAGAATAGGTACATGAAGGTAAATAGCAGGCACCTTACATCTGTGATAAATTCATGCTATTCTGAGGTGTACACCTGCGACTCTAGCGTTCACGATGGAAAAATCGCTAATACATATATTTTGTATTCGCTTCACATCTTGATTTTCCTAAGAGTATAAAATACACAACAGGCGTGCGACTACACACGCGTAAGTATCGGTAAATGTGGCTTATTGCAAACAGTTTCAAGAAGAGAATTGCAACATGGCAGTTTGTAATTTCTATAAAATTTAATTACTAAAAATCGTTTGCATGTTTGGGTAGTGTCGTGCTCTCGAATCACGTTCTGCATTACTCATAGCTCCACGTTGTTGAAAATTTAGAACTGTTAAATATCCAACTTACACTACATTAAGTACCGAGAACATTACCTAAATACATTTAGTAGCAGTAGAGCTCCTTGTGAGAGTTCGTCCAGGGAACTACTGCCACCTTAACTATTTCTGCCGCCAAGAATTAACGTGAGCATTACCGTGTTCTGATTTTAAAGGGTGAGAGGAGTTGTATATGTGTATACAAATATATACAATACGGCTGTCTTCAAGTTAGAACGAGAGTAGAAAAGGTATAAATCAATATGAATAAATTATGTCGGTATTCGTCCTGTCATGTTTCAAAACACAAGTCACACCTCATAGTATATTTTGCAGCAGAAACTCAATAGATTTAGACGAATTGACTACAGTTATTCTTTTATTACCCTCTATATAAAATGTATTATATCTTAATTAGAAATCTGTAAATAGCGAGAAGAGTTACGAAACGTTGACTCAGTTCCATTTATAAAAACAGACATCATAACGTCAAATTTAATATAACCTTGAAACGGTTTTATTGCGGGCGTCCGACCTCTGGGTGGGGTGCGGTCATGGTCGCGGAACAACCTTTGCAATTTACAAGCAACGTCCGCTCACCTCGAGCGCTGAGGGCCGAATGGCTTTCTATAGCGTGGAGCGACGACGACGTCTCCCCCGAGGGGGATATTTACCCTCCTACCCTCACCCAACCGTGCCAGCTGAGCAGCGGCACGCTATATTTAGGTTGAGCTGTAAATATTCGTTCCAAGAACGGAAAGCTCCCCACCGAAAGGGTGGCATCCGCGGGTGGCGGTACGTATCTACACAAGCGGGTAAAAGTTGAAAGTTCACCAACAGTACAGAAGTACGTTCGTGATGTTTAGGAAATGCTTTCTTTATTTAAATTCTATTGTGAACTTGTACAGTCATACTGAATTCGCAATCATAGTTTGACGCAAGCAAAAAGTTGCTATTGCGTTCTTGACTAAGATTTTTGTTGAAATGTTTTTTGGAGGCGTTACTATCGTAGCAAGACTGTAATTTAGCTAAAAAAAGGCTTGGAAATAATAACGGCATGCATTCAACGTAGGGCCGGACATGAGCTCTCTTTAATCAAATTGAAATAGATTAGTGCCCTTGATATGCTGTTTGCGTGTCTCTGTCATTTGAGACACAATCATCATTGCTGTTTGGAATGTGGCGTTTATGTTCGCATAGAAAAAACAAAGACATTAAACGTTAAACTTTTATTTTACGCACTTTAATATACGCACGCACTTACGCATTAGAATATTTGTTTTATTTTTTGTTTTATTTTATGCCATTTAATGAAATCACTATAAATAATCTTCAACAATAGACTAACTAAAATTAATACCAAAAATAAAGTACATTATATCTGTTAAGTTCGAAAATAAGAACAGAAAAGTTCTACACACAACTAGTCTTGTTTCTTCAATTCAACCTTGTCTTCATTATTGTCTAGTAAAGTGTCCATAGTCTCGTTACTTGTCCTTGTTGATTTCTTTTTGCCTTCCTGGTTCTTTTTCAAGTCTTCTATTATAGACGATCTTCTTGTGAGATCCATTTCATACTCCTGTATCGGAACTCGTGTGAAGTCCAAGGGACTGATATCGACTTCGTATTTTTCATGTTTCGGATCGTGGAAGCTGACTATGTTGAATACTGGAGCGGTGCCTGTCAGAAAGGTTTATTCCTTGCAATTTACAGATAGCCTGATTTTAGTCATTCTACTTAGAAAAAAGAACAAAGGCTCATGGTAACTCAATGGTTTGACCTACTGCTCTCAAGCAGTGGCCGTGGTTTCGAATCCGGTCTCGGGCCTTTGAGTTTCTGGGAATTTAATAAGCTTTATTCGCGTTTATTCGACTCGAATTTCATCGCGCTCACGCCGCGCGGAAACCGCGTGGCCGCCGCGCAGCGACCGCATGCATCTAATTGTCATGGCAAAACACGCTCTATTTATATGGGTTTTAAGTTTAAGAGCGTCACAGGCGTGCGGGCGAGATTGGCTTATCTTTGGTCTATGCGGCGGTCGAGTGGCGTAGGGCGCGGCGATCGTGCGGTTGTATTGCTCTGAGGAATTTAAATGTTGTTGCCTAGTAAATAGAATTCAGATTCGCCAGTAATGTACGTGAAAGCGGATAACATAATGATGAAATCTGCACGTTGAAGAAGTTTCACAACCCTCGGAAAAATTATAAAGTCCCCAAAGCATTGTGCCAGAGTGGCGAAAGGAGACCCGTGCCCAACGTTGAGACCAGTATAAATGGTTTGACGATGATGTCTTAAAACAATTATTCTCTTTAAGGCTGATTTTTCTTTAAGTGACGATACAGTTTCGAAAGGTCGCAGTTGAACAGAACATGCGAGAGCCTTGCGCATCGGTTTTCATAGTGTCGCCATCTCTGAGGTCCCGGGGTCGATCCCTGGCCGGGTCAATGAAGAAAAACTTTTCTATATTGTCTCGGGACTGGGTGTTTGGGGTACCGTGCTTGTTTCCGATTTCCATAACACAAGTAAGCTACTTATTATGGAATCAGAGCAATGTATGTGATATTGTCTAATAAATTATTTATTTATTAGTGTCCAAATATCCCTGTGGCTACTGACTCGAGTTGGTTATTAATTTCTACTTCTGTCTACCGTATGTACGTATGTAAAATATCATGGCCAATATAATGGTTATGTATATGGATCTTTTTCAGGTTAGTCATCAACACATTTAAACGTCCCACTGCTGAACTCAGGTCTCTCGGGCAAGAGTTTAGGTCATAGTACTTCACGATGGCCCGATGTAGGTCGGGGATTTTACACGTTTTCCGTGAGTTGTGTACTTTTTTTTGGCATGCAGGTTTCATTACCATGTTTTTCTTCACTGAAAAACTCATGGTAAATTCCAAATTTAATTTCGCACATCAATTCCGAAAATCTCTAGAGGTACGAGCCCGGATTCAAACTCAAGGTTTTTGCTTGAAAGGTAGTACAAACCTTTAAGTTACCACAGATACGATACGATTTAGGTTGGTGTTTTCTGACTAAAGGTCGCAGTATACGGGACGGGAATGGGCAACATATAATTTATGTTACGGGACGGGACGTGAAGAATATCGGCACATATAACATATGTGTTATTCTTCACGTCCCGTCCCGTTCCCGTCGCGTATACTTGAATACTAAGTATGTTTTTATATGTAACGATATTAACAATAAATCCCGTCCTCTACGACATATGAAGCCGACCGCCCCGTAGGAGACAGGAAAAATCACGTTACGTATGCTGTGACCTTAAATCCGATGTCAAATTTTATTATTTGAATATTCCAACATATTATCGCCAAATACTAAATTATATTTCAGGATAATACACTCTGATATATTAAATAATGCTTCCTGATAATATTATAAGGCACTGAAATAATAAAAATTGTCATCGAAATTAGGTAGAGAACACTAACCTTGAAAATAATCCATGTATTATTTCACAACAAACCAAGGAGTACCTACTCAAAAAATTAAATACGCCTAATACGGGTCGCCTCTATAGTAAGTAAGAAGTACAAGTTTAAGCCAAGTTGAATCCACCAATAAAGAACAGGTTTTTTTCTTTAATAAAATTTATTGGGGTCACATGGGAGCAGGTGCTTAAGAAAAGGGTCCATACGGAAAATGTCAAGGATTTTCCTTTCATATATTATGTAGATCTCGAGTCCTTTAGGTACATTAAGCAAATACATGGCTTGTAATTAACATTGATTTTCAAAGTTTTGTGAAGAAAAACTTTCATAGATATGAAATTTCAAAGGTGGCATTAGATTTCTTACAGCTAGCACTATGACAAAAAAGTAAAAACATACAACAACAAATAAACGCATAGAGAAATTTGTAAGTTCCGCTGACTCGATTTGTATGAAGTATGAATAGATATTAACGAAATTAATGTTATAATGAATTAATAAGCTTTATTTACAAGTTTACTTTAATTATGCACTTACACAATAAACGTTGTACGCCCGTAGCGGGCAGATTGTGACGTCAGTTTTTTTTAGGTCTTTAATTTTCACCACATTCTATTATATTTTATTCTATTCTGGCTCAGTTGGTAGACCGGTATTTTATTAATAATGAAATACATAAGTAGTTTGTTATTTGTCAGCCTCAATAGGAAAATTCTGATATGTAGACAGACACGGAAGGCGTAGGTACAAGTATGATTTAAGGCTGTTCACAAAAATTCGACCTTAGCAAGCGGCTGTGTGTTTTCAAATGTTAACCAGCAAGCCATGTGGGCCGCCGGCCGCCCACATAAACCCAAGTGCAACAGGCCACCATGTATTTTCGAATTTTATCTAGCAGGCCATATAAGCCTACATAGCTACAAGCAGGAACCACAATTAGGAATTAAATTTTTTTTCGATTTTTGTAGACCTGACCAGTCAAAGGTTGCATCAGCAAGCCGATAATATAAGTTATGCGACGAATACAGCCAATTATTTGGCTCTTCTGCTAACAACTGATCCAGATCGTAATATAGTATCGATCTCGTCCTTAGTGGTGACATCCGTCTGTTTTTGGTGGAATCACGGCGTAACGCGCGGCCTGCTACGACACCTTCAACTTGTGTCCCACCGGCCGCCCACATGGCCTGCTACAAAAGATACTCTAGATCAGGCGTAGCGTGCTGTGAAAAAAAAACGCATGTCTAGCCGATAGCCCACATGGCCTGCTACAAAAGTTCCTTAAGATCAGTCATGGCGTACAGTGAAAAAAATGCGTGTCTCGCGCGCCGTCCACATGGCCTGCTGCTTCAGAAAAATCAATTGTTCTATGGCACTGAGAGTGTTAACAAGCCATTTATAATATGATATATAGCGTTTTCTATGTGAAATATCCTAAATAAATAAATAATGTAAAAAAATACAGCCACTACGATATTTGCTCAGTGGTGGCTTTAACCATTAAATGTGAATAAAAATTACAATAACCTCTTATTTATATAATTTTATGATATATTAATACTACTATTAATACTAGTGGGGTGCACGAAAGGAACCTCCCCGTAAAACGTAATATTGATATTCCCTATACTTCTGACACACCCTGAGCAACAATCAGCGAGAACCTTACGCCGATTGGCAAATCCATTCACGACGATGGCAAACGTGTCCTATAGGTCTAGGCTGCAAATCTATGCCATCGATACGATAAAAGGAAGTATACTAATAATAGCTCGATATTTCACACAAAGGTTCTGAGTGTGTAAATAAGAAATCTGAGTCACACGACTAATGATTTGTGTCGAAGTAAATTTGAAAGAGTTCCGAGATACAATAGTAAATTAGTCAGATTGACCAGATTAGTGTGGGAAAGACGGTAGATCGTTGGCATCAGATCTACGGGTAATACCCGCGTCTCCTCAGTTGGTCCAAGGATGGTCCAAGCGACTATGTTAAAATATCGGGCAATGAAAAAAATTGAATAACATATTTATTTTTTATTAGCAAACCTTCCAGGTTTTTTAAATTCGTGAGTGTGTGTGTATGTGTGTGCGTATGTGCGCGCGCGCGCGTGCTTGCGTGCGTGCGTGTGTGTGTATGTGGGAATGTGTGTGTGTGTGAGAGTGTGTGTGTGTGAGAGAGAGTGTGTGTGTGTGTAAGTGTGTGTGTGTGTGTGTGTGTGTGTGTGTGTGTGTGTGTGTGTGTGTGAGAGAGTGTGTGTGTGTGAGAGTGTGTCTGTGTGCGTGCGTGCGTGTGTGCGTGTGTGCGAGTGTGCTTGCGTGGTTGCGTGCGTGCGTGCGTACGTGCGTGCGTGCTTGCGTGCTTGCGTGCTTGCGTGCGTGCGTGCGTGTGTGCTTGCGTGCTTGGGTGCGTGCATGCGTGCGTGTGTGTGTGAATCATATATGTGTGAATGTGTGTGTGTATGCTCCGCTTAATTTTTATTGCTATTTATATTTTTTAACACTTCACTAGTTTCTTATTTATTGATATAAAGATCGAAGAAACACAAATACAAACTTTTCCGATCCCACGTGCTCGTGGCTCCCATTCTTACCAACTGAGCTAGAGATCGAGTCAGCAGCAGGCCATACACAATTCTTTATGTTCTTGCTACATATCTTTGTTTACTGAATTTAAACACTTATGAAAGTTTCTTCACTAGTTACACTTTGACTATTGTGGTCGACGTCATGATTACCACAACCGTTTTAAAAATTTACAATAGATATAAAGGCCTAAGTGTTCATACCTCCAAAAGCAATACGGTCTTCATGGCTGCTAACAGCCAGCACGGTGCCGGAAGCCGGGTATGAGCACGTGATGTATCTGTTGTGAAGATTAATCACCTCCACGCAGTTAGTTCCGCTGCCTCCTATGATGGCGTATTTGCCTTTGTGGTTGAACTGCGTGACAAACGCATTATCTTTATAAAAACTTAATATTCTTTATAGAAACTTAGGCAAAGTGACACCTAAACCTACAAGATTTCATAATAATATGGATTTGGCGGCAATTGACATAGAAACAGATTTTAGTTGAACATTAGATTATTATATTAGTATCAGTTAATTTTATCATAATTTGCAAGTTTTATTGTAATCTAGGGTTTTAAATTTTTAATTCTTACTTTTAATTTTATTTTAATATTTCTTCCACTGATTTTATTTTAAATTTGTATTGAATTGATATTCAATTATTTTTTGTGAAATTACTCCACTTTTTTGTTATAATACGAACACTTAAGCTTAGTTGCTTAGTTGGCATAGCGCCTGGCAAGGTTTAGGTTTAGGCTAGAATACGTCGGTTCGAATTCGGCCGGATCGAAGGAATTTTTTGTAAGTGTTCAATCTTTGATTTTATTTTATTCGGATTTTATTCAACTTAATGTTATTTTGGGTCAATTTAATAAATTTAAATTTATGCTAACAGTCGTTGTTACTCGAAATAAATTTATTTATTTTTTTATTTATATTTGTTGTAAACTGTACGTCTTTTATACAGCTTTAGCGTTAAATTATATGACAAAATATTAAAGACGAAATGGCTATGTAAATTATTATTTATAGAGCATTCCAAAAAAAAATCTATTTTGTTTATATGAAAGCAAAGCTTCTAACTAGGCCTAGACCTAGGACGTGAAGCATGATAAGTGTGTCGGTCCGGTCACCTCTGTCGAGTTTATCTATCTAGTTTTGTTGGAAACAACCCCGATTGGGAAATCCTTTGACTGCGATGGCAAGCATCACAGTGTATGGTTGATACGATTTAAAATTATAAATTTGACTACAGCCTTACAATTTATTACATAAACAGAGAACAAATAAGTAACGAGAACGGACACTCTCCGCCCCTCCCTAGCTTTAGATACCGCACCACGCCTCGCACATTGACGGTCACATTGACTGAACGAGAACAAGCCTGTCGGCGAGCCGTTTTCGCGCCAAGACGGCTTTGATATTTGAGTAGTTTTCATTTATTAATTACGAAATTTGTAGGTTATTAAATAACATCATTTTACGTTACTATTTATAATGGTCGTGAATTGTGCTGTGTACGGCTGTTTATAATAATCTAAATGGGTAAAGAGAGGAGTTTCTTTCGATTTTTGAAAGATGAAACTAAGTAAGTAAAAAAACTTATGTCTGAGACTGTGTGTTTTCTTTAGTGCAGAGTAATATATAATACAGATTTATTATACCAATATAATAAGACGCCATAACTTCGTGAGCTAGACAAGGGTTCTCGAATTTTCTATTTGTATTGCCGATAAATATTACGTAGTGAATATACCTAATTATCAACTAGGTAATGATAAAATTGGACACGCAATTTCAAATACTTTGGTTACTTTATTTAAAGTTACCTGTCCAAAATATAACATTTTAAGTGCTTTTAATATATTTTTTAAATAAATCTAAGGAATTTTCGCAATGTTGCCGCTTCACGTAACGTAATAGTACGAGCAAGTGATGGGTAACCCTGCCACTTCACGCACACATTTGCGCGTGTGCTGATAGCGCCTTGGTGTATGTAGTAGTAGTAGGTAAATAATTTTCGACCGTTATATGGAGTCTCCGGGCTGTGACATAAATTTGACAGTTCGCACTTGACAACTAACATATGATTATCTCAAAAATTGCGTTATATTATGAATTTATCCGAAAAATTTCACTATATTTATGTGTCATTCATATACGATTTAATTTCAAAGTGACAGGACAACACTATCGCTTTGAAACTAAATAGGTAATATTAACTTAAAGCCATTTTGAGATAATACTATGTTAGTGGTCATGTGGGACCTATTATCAATTGAATACTTAAATAAGTCCATCCCGCTTTATTTAAGTAAGATGTCGTCAGGATTTGAGAAAGAAAGAAAGAAGATAGTAGCTTTAGAGCTCTTTGTAAAAGCGTTAGTCCAGGGAAATACTGCCACCTTATCTATTTCTGCCGCCACGCAGTAGTGTGAGCATTACAGCGTTCCGGTTTTGAAGGTACGGGTGCTGGTGAAATTACAGGCACATGGGACTTGTCAACTTATGTCTCAAGGTGTCGGTGGCAATGGCAGCGCCCCTAAGATCTTTGTGATTTGAAGCTCTGAGCTCTGCAACTGCTATGGACTGGACAGGCGTGTCGCTCATCGTCGGGCGCACGACTTATTCGTCCCGCCAGTTAGTAATTATATAAAAAAATTACTCTTAATAATATTTTACTTCGGCTCTCCTACAACGAAATTTTGAACTTCAAACTCGAATTTGGTATATATAAGCGGCTAACGACGATAAGCCCATCGAAAAATGGGAACGGTTTTTACCCGCTGTAGATAAAGTCATGCTTAAGTTGTGAACAAGAGTACTGACAATAATTATTGTTATATAGTTGTAAATATTTATTATAGAATTTATAGTCAGTTTTAGTTAAGTAAACATTAAAAGTCTGGTTGTTGAACGTTTCACTGATATTAAAAGAGAATTTTAAAAATTAGTAATTGACATTATTGTGCTTTTAGCGCGTTAAATTTTAGCGTTATTTATTTTTTTAACTGACTTCAAAAAAGGAGGAAGTTCTCAATTCGACTGCATGTTTTTGTATGTATATTACGCGATAACTCCGGCATTTATGAACCGATTTTCATGATTATTTTTTTGTTGGAAAGAGGGTACCTCCATAGTGGTACCATTTAATTTTAAAGAAAATCATCTACTGTACTGTACTGGTGGCTGTCCACACATGAAGATTCATTTTTATAAATAGCGCCTAAATTGTACTATGTATAAGGAGCAATTACTTTAATGGTTGATTTTGCTATTCTCCAATTCAAGGCTTTTTTCTCTCTCAATATACTTTGAGTAGTGAGAACCGATTTTTATCACCTCCTGTGTCAAGTCCCGTATAGTGGTGAACTAGGGGATAAATTCAGATTTGCTCACTTTCCGGTAACCGATATAATAAAACTTATATGTAATAATTATATGTAATTCCGCGTACTTTTGAGGTAGGTTTTTTTAGTACTCTGTACTGAGATTATTTAAATAACATAATACTTAGAAAAAGAAATTATTTGAATTTTGATTCGAAACAATCAAAAAACTGTGTAATACGAGTATATCTGTAGAACCGTGTAAACTCTATTCGTATTTCTATCTAATCTAATATGAAATTAATTAATTATAACAAAACACAATGTTTCTGGTTCAACACCACCAAAAAAATTTACAAACGAATGATTTCACAAAAAACTAATTGATTTATCGTGGTGGGGAATCATCCTGACATTCAAAATTTAATTTTACATTCGCTTTTCTTTTGTAACTATAATATATTAAAGAAAACTATTACCAATAAAGTAACTGGCTTTAGCTAGTGATTTTCTAACATCAGTAATTATGTAATTAAGAAAGTAAACAAAACGTTTGTAATTCATCTGAAATAACACACTGATCAGTAAGTAACACTTTTTTATTATTATTATTGTAAATGGTTTTGCCTTCGCATTTGGTCAATGAAAGTGTTGGTAAAGCTGAATTACAGATTATGAAAAAGGTACGGAATTTGAATGAAGAAAGATGTGATAGGTTGGGTAGGTGAGTAGTTATTGATATCAAATTTTTGCAAATCTTGACATACGAGGTATATAATTATTTATGTACACACGCCAGCACATCAAGCTACACATTGACGTATCTTGTTCCGTTGCTATGGAGGCGATTTCCGAACAAAAATGTGTAGTCTGATGTGCCGTTGTCCGTACAATGTTATGTTCAAAATAATTAAATAGTAATGTTTGATCGGAAGTTTGTCCCTCATGAGTAAATAGAATAACAGGTATTTTATAGTTTAGCCTGTTTTTTATTTTACACAAAAAAGAAGCTTTTCATTTTGTGAAAGAGCATCGTAATCGTGCAACTTTTTTTTATGAGACCAAGTGACGGGATGAAAAAGTCGCCCACCTTTTGGTAAGTGATACGCCTATTCATAACAGTTTCAGTACCACTAAGTGCTTTAAATCACAAAGATCTGAGGGCACTGCCACTGCGCCTGCCACTCTGAGACATAAGTTGACAAGTCCCATGTGTCTGTAATTTCATCAGCTTAACTTAACCTGTCATAGCATTTGGTGGTCGCGATACTGTACTCGGACTGCATTCCAACAACTACGTATTCCGCCTACCCTAATTATTACTAATGTGCCAATTGCACGTGGTTTATCAAAATGAAATTGGTAACGCTACGCGTGTGTTTTTACACACCATACTACTAAATTATTCATCAGCCTGTATTATTTGAAAACGATATCACAATGCGCCAAGTTCATTATATTTTCGCCAATTCATATTAAACTTGATGTGGAATTAATGTCGAACATTACAAGTTTGAGCTTTCGACTTCAAATGCTATTCATTAACTTACGACAGTCAAAATGATAATGAACTTACTTTATTAAAATTGCTTAATTAAATTTTGGATGTTGAATTAGGCTTCTTCTTATCTTCGAACTTAAAAAAGTTTGAAATTATTATAAATTCCTATAATAATAATTCGTAGTCAAATAAGTACGTCGCGACACGTTTAGTAAGTTACTAACCAAACATATTATGTTTATATTATCTGATAATACATTATGTTAAAAAGAAAAACTTATCACCTACGGTGTAAAGAAAGTAACATTACAGTGGCATAGAATGCTGTATCTCCTAGTTTACCAAATACCCCAACCTCTACCGCGTAGCACCCTTGCTTCCGCTAAATTCAGAGCTTTGCTGCCGGGCTACATTTCAAAGTTATAGAGTTGAAAATAGCTTGATATTGATTTTATAGGGATCAAAGGTTTTAAGAGCGTTAACGCAATACAAAAACCTGGAACGTAACAGAATCTGACAACGAATATTCTTTATCATAATAAAAGTAAGGATTATATTGCATTTTCATAAGATATCTTTTATCGTAATAAGTTGAAATGGTATCGCACGAAAAGACTTAAATATTATTTTAATTTTGTAGATAGAATAAAAATTTTACATTTATTAATTACAGTTCAAAGTGACATTTGTAAGTCGACTAATATAATTCTTATTTGTTAGCTAATATCTTTTGAAAACCATGTTCAGTACATTAAATAAAACAAGTATTAAATCATAATCCCTCTGAAATCCTTAAAAACAGTTAAGACAAGTTAAAACATACATTTCGTTTAAGTATATATTAATATTGACTGAGACAGCAGATTTTTACTCGAGATTCGAAAGACATCCAACAGCCTTATACAGGGTGTGATAGGGTTCGTACAGCAGCAGAGTTAATTATGACTTACTATCGCATTAAAACCATTACGCAATCGATTTGAAAGCGTTAAGATAATAACTTTTTTCATGCTAATAAAAAAATATTTAATTCCAATTGTTTAGCAAGTTTTATCAAATTGCTTTATATCATGAGTTTGTCAGAAAGGTCGTTTCCTCATGCTATTACTGGGTGCTCCTACTCGTAGGAGCACAAGGACTAATACGTCCATATGCTCCTACTGGTAGGATCAAAAGGATATATATGTCCTCGTGCTCCTACTAACGTACTGTCACCTATATTTATATATATTTGATATTGTAGTACTCGTATATATGTTGTCGATTCTCTAAGCTTATCAGCAGTGAAAGCTATTAACGTATTTCCATATATTTTATAAACAATGAAACAAAAGTCATTTTACTTGTCATTTTCACATGTCTGTGATTTTCCTGAAGACGGAATCGAATTTGATTTTTGATAAATAAATTTAAAATGTGTGATAATATAGAAAAGCCTACACTTATAAAAAGCAAAAGTGGAACAATATTGTTACACTCAGGTTATCAGTTCTATAAGCAAATAAGTATATAGGAAATGAAACTATTTTTCCGGATTTAAATCGCGTATATTTGTTTTTTCAAACAAACCGACGACGTTAAGGGCCCTTTACGGTCCCATGGTCACGGTTGACTGAGGTGGTACAGTCTTCAACCAGTTATGTCTAATATTGATGCAAACCACCCAATTTTTTTCACTATAGTTACAATAGTTATTAATTATAACATTATATACAAACATATAGTTATTAAAAATAACTGCCTCTGTGGCCGAACGGTTACCATGCCGGACTGCCACGCAGAGGTCCCAGGTTCGATTCCCGGGCCGGGAGAAATATTTGTATGGCCTACATTTATTTCTCTCGTGAGTTTGGGTGTAATTTGTGGTTGTCTATGTGTGTGTCCATGGCACCCGCGACACAGGGTTTTCCCTAGTGCGGGGCTATGTTGATTGTGAGCGTTATGTTGATTGTGAGCGTTAAGTAAATAATTAAATACCTTATTTTTAACTTTACAAAGAAAACGTTCCCATTTACGCTGCATTAAGTTTTACAAATTATTTTAATTGAATGAATTTGTATTAAGTTCAATTTATTATTATTTAATAATAGAAATTAGAATAAACTAAAACATATTAATTAGTACTGCAGTCTTATGTCTGTTTGGGATTTTTCATTAGATTTCATTAGAGGAAATATTGGATCCCAAACTGGTGGTACTGAGAAACCATCTTCCCTGTTGAAATTAGGATGTTTTTTAATTTCAATGGCCTCTCGCAACATCCTGGGTAGATAACGGACTTCTTTTGCAAGGACCTGGGGTTTGTCAAACTTCATTGAATGTGTAGGTTTATCCATGACATGCTCGCTATAAATAATAAATAAGGACAAACTCATAAGACTGCAGTACTAATTAATATGTTTTAGTTTATTCTAGTTTCTATTATTAATTAATAATAAACTGAACTTAATAAAAATTCATTCAATAAAATAATTTGCAAAACTTAATGTAACGTAAATTGGAACGTTTTCTTTGTAAAATTAAAAATAAGGTATTTAATTAATAACTATAGTAACTATAGTGAAAAAAATTGGGTGGTTTGCATCAATACTAGACATAACTGGAAGACTGTTACCACCTCAGTCAAACGTGACCATGGGACCTGTAAAGGGCCCGAAACATCGGTTTGTTTGAAAAAACAAATATACGCGATTTAAATCCGGAAAAATAGTTTCATTTCCTATGTGTAACAATCGCGAAAACCTAAGAACTCGATACAAATAAGTATAATTTTATTTTGATTTCTTTTTTATTCTAGTTCAGTGTACTTATAAGATACGACGTCACGATAGGAGCATAAGGATATATTAGTCCTCAAACTGCTACCAATAGGAGCATGAGAAAACGGCCGTCAGTACTGCGACTTTTGACAATTTCCTAGTCGCCTAATCAAAAAGGTTTTAACATAAAATGTAAAGTTTTAAAATTGGGACTTAATTGTATATAAAAATACATTATATACTTCGACATTTTAAGCGTGTTGCAACGTCCATTCCAGGTGGATGTACGAAGGGAGACCCTTCGAGATCATAGACGTTAAAATCAAATAATGTATGAACCTTGTAAAAGTTTGAAATAATGCAAAATATAAGGTGTCTCTAATGTCAGTATTTATTTGGGATACATAATAATAATAAAACTATTTACTAACAAAACGCTTTACTGTAATTATTTCAAAAACCACTACATTAATAAAATTATAATCATTTACTGACTTAGAAACAATGGGTTGGGATAACGTATCCGCAAACACCCTGTATATCTGTATTGTATGTGCTCGGCTTAAAATCATGATACATATTGAGCGCTCGTCTAGGTTTCGAGCTTCACGAGTCGTCAAAGGGTTTTGTGAACCAAAATAGTTTTAATTTAAATTAAGTTAATTTCTGGATAATACTTTTAAACACTGAAGTGCTAGTAAAAGTGCAATACATACTTGAGATCTCCAATATCGGCAAGCGTATACATATTCCCCATCGACGTCAGGGCGACGATTCTGGACACGGACTACGTGGAGTTTCCTGCGAGCCACGATATCAAA